CCCCAGAAATGCCCCCACACAGAGGCCCACCAGGTTGTTCCTCTCACATTCTTCTGGGTCGTATGAGAGCAGCCGCAGGGAACACTTGAGTTTCAATCGGTATCATCTCTCCAAGGTTTTGTCTGTGAGCTCAGCTAACTGGTTCACTTACCAAGTCCTGAGTGCCAGCTCTGCTTGCATACTAGGCTCAAATTCTTCCACTTAGACTGTCTCAGAAAGTAAAGCTGGGGAAACAGACAAGATGTTTGGGATTCAGAGGATGAGGAGCATGGGCCCAGAGGTAGAAGCCCTAGTGATTGGATATTTCCAACTCTGCCACGTTTTTAAGGATGGGCAGCTTAGTTTGTCATTGTGTCAGACCTTTCTCCTTGCAGAGTTCAGCTAGTCAGGCTTCAAAGAGTCTCAAGAGTCCTAGGTCACTAGGCACTGTTTCCAGACCAGTGGGCCACTGTATTTCTGCCCTGCCCTCTTATCTACGTCAATGCCATTGCAAGCATGTTTGGCTATATATAAAAGCAGTCCTAGGAAGGGAAATATATTTCATTTTTCTACCCCCAGACTTAGTGATTCTTTAACAAGCCCCCCAAAATGGACACTGCAATTTTCTCATCCTCTCCAAAGAAAAGAACACAATAATGCCTATTAGTAGTATATTTCAACATGTCTATCAAGAACAGCTAGGAAGTTCTTTGCAAAATCTAAAACATAAGTCAGATTGAGTGTGGGTTACACACGTTGCCACGTCTCCTAACAAGAGAGGCTATGGAAATCTGAATTTTTCTTTAGGGTTCACGAAGAGGTAAAGTGGCAGAAAGGAAGATATTTTCCTGTGGCAGTTTTACATTAATGTCTTTCCTTTCCACATCTCAGTTGTGTGCTCTGAAGCTGCACGCCTTGCTTGATGGCGAGTGCTTGTGCAAAGGTTCTGGGCAAGAGGAAAGGGCGGGTGATGGGACGAAGAGCAGGCAAACCTTGTTCCTCCAAACTACGTGGCCAGGAGCCAAAGAAACCAACTTGAGTTGAGCAAAGTGTCACGTGGTTAGTTTGCAAAGGAAAGGGGGGCAGGGGAAGCAGGGAGGTGGCCGTGTTTTTCCTCCTGTTGGAAGAAGAAAGCAGAGTGAGATGCAGGGGCCCACTCACCCTGTTTAACAGGTGACAAACCAGTGTCGGGGAGAAAGTGTCATTTTTCTGGAGGCTATTTGACAAAAAGGGCTAGGGACATACTACTAAGACACCTGAAGTCTGAGGAAGCCTGCTTTTCCTAAGACAGAGCAAGAGACAGAGGCCCAAGCCTGGTGCTGGAGCAGAACAGGGGAGCCCCATGCCCCCGCCCCCATCTCTGATGCCAGCTCAGTAACTACAGCCACAAGACCCCATCCGTGACAGTCTGGACTCTGCTCTCTATGATGTTTTCTTTACTTGAGTTTTTCTCTTAGATCCAGGGGGATGTGCTGGAGGGGTAGTAAGCCTGTGGACTCTGCCATAGCCCAGAGTGGAGTTAGGAACCTCTTCATTCCTCTCCCCAAGTTTTAAGGGAGAAGGGGCAGCCAGATATTTGAAGAACCCCCCTACCCAGAGATGAAGTCAAGCCTTCTTGTGGAGGTGAAGTCATGACCAGAATGACCACTAGGTATTATTCAACTTAGTGAGCAAGTCCTATTCTGCTAAATGTCAATTGCAGGTTTGGGGAATCCACTCTTGTGTAACACAATGTGTAACTCTATGTGTCTACACAGCAAGAGGGAGAGAAAAAAGACGAGCATGAAGGGGAGGAAGAGGGGGAAGCAGAAGAAGAGGAAGACAAAAGGTCATCACCACAGAGAAAGAGAGGACAGAAAGGAGGTCCGAGGGTGGAATAAAGGAAAGGAGAAAAGGAAGTAGGCAGAAAACAAGAGAAAGCAAGAAGGAAAATGGAATGGCTAGGTCTCAGTCAGTCACTTTGCGAAGTAGTGAAATTTCCTGACACTTTAGACCTTAAATAAAGGTATAACAGCCTCCATATTAGTTTCCTATTAGTGCTGTAACAAAATATCACAAATTCAGTGGCTTTAAATAACACAAATGAATTATTTTATAGTCTTGGAGATAAGAAGTTCAAAATGAGTCCAGAATAATCTTCACTGGGCTAAGATCAAGCAGGGCTGTGCGCCTTCTGGGGGCTCTAAGGAAAAGTCCATTCATCTTCTAGAAGATGCCTACATTCCTTGGCTTCCATTTTCAAAACCAGCAAAGGTCAGTAAAGTCCTGCTCACATCACATCACTCTGCCACTGACTCTTCCACATGTAAGGGACACCTGTGATGACACCAGGCCCCGCAGGATAATCCAGGGTCATCGCCCTATTCTAAAGTTAGCTGATTAGCAGCCTTAATTCTTCTTGCCATATGCAGTAACACAGTCACAGGTTCTGGGAGTTAGGACGTGGCCATCTTTGGTGGGCCACCATTCTGTCTTCCACAGCCTCTTATTAAGAATATCACAAAGGGACAGGAAGCTGGGCAGCCCCTTTAACAGTAAAGCCTTAAGGAATGGGACAAGGAGCTAGTTCTCAAGGAAAATGTGAGCTGTGTGTAGTGGGTTTCCTGAGTAATGTTTAAGCTCCTCCTAGCACCTGCCCTTTCCTCGGGCTGGGCTAGCAGCCTTCTGAGGTCACCAGTCTCCAGTGCCCCAGGGTCTGCCTGACCTAGGAGCTGTCTTGTCCTTTCCTCTAATCAAATTGATCAAACTCTCTTTTTTTTTTTGTCCTTGTTACCCTAGCATGTGGCATAAGTGTATGAGTAGAAAGTATTTGCATCCATTTGTCTGTAATATCATTTGTCTGTAATACTTTAATTTCCTAGAGTGTCCCTGGAAGGAGTGCTTTTGAATGGGTGTTGGGGGAAAGAGTCAGTTGGAGCCGCTTACACACCACTAATCCCACCACATAAACCTGTCCTGCAAAGAGCCAAGCTGACTTAAAAGTTCAGGGATGTTTGTGCTCAAAACAGAGCTTGGTAAGTCTATATAGAGAAATGATTTAAGCATCTTAAGAGAGCAGTAATCTATAAAACATTTAACTCTCGGATTACTCTACTAGGACTGGAAGAAGAAATGCAATTTTAGTCCAGTGTCCGAGAACATATCCTATATGGATATATAAAAACCTCAATATAAGAGCCTCTGTGATGTGTTTTTTGTTTTCCCTGTTGTTTGGAATGGACTATGTACCATATTTCTGAACCTCTCAGTCCTCCTGATTGAACAATGATGATGCCAGTACTAACATCACAAAATCAAGAGGCAAAGGAGAAGAACTTGTTATTCTGGCCTCCTAAGGATCATTGATACTGCAATTAAAGTTAACAACCATTTTTTCCCCAGGCAAATCATGTCTCAAGGATCTCACCAATTCTAGGGGCTCATTTCCTCCATGAATAGGAGGAAATGCCAGAAGAATCTCATAATCTTGGGGGATGAGTTTGAAAAGAGCCCAGGGTTAGGGTGAGGGTGAGGAGTACGCCTATTTCCCACTTGTCTCCTTTGCCAGTTGAGAATCAGTGGTGAGCAGTCGGAGGAGAGGCAGGAAATTGAGACAGCCTGTTCAGCTCTGGGCTGTCATTCTTCCTTGGAGCGGGGAGGCCCATTACCTGAAGAACGAGTCCTATGGATAAAGGCAGGACTGAGCCATGTGGCAGAGTGACAAGCAAGACTCACATCTCTAACACTGGTGCAATATTAAATCCAGATGAGATATGAGTGGGTGTGGATTTCCCTGAAGACAGCTGAAAGCAGGTGTCATGAAGTCATGATGCAAAAGCCTCCCACTGTGGACGAATGATCGAGTATGAACCAGCGAAGGTGAGATCCTTGTTTTTTTACAATCACAATTGTACTTCAGACTCCTAGCAGATGAATTAAAAACAAGAGAACACCAAGTAACTGAGGTAGTCACACAAAATTGGTATATGTGCATTTCTGTTCTTCTAGGGAAACATTCAGCATATCAGACTGTGTGCTGGAAAATATCATGCCTGATTAACCAGAAAATCATGGCAGCAAAAAGTTTAAGAAAAAATTTAAGCTGAGGAAGACAAGTTGCTTGTGGACCTACCATGAATTCCATAATAATTAACCTACTAAGTTTCAAAGAATTTCTAGGCCAGCCTCAGACACAGACCTGACAGAAGGCAGGCCTTAAAATAAACTGAACTTGAGCATATGATATCTTAGTAGTATGTTCAGCTTTGGGCATGTGTGTGATAATAGGTCCTGATAATTAAAACAGCACATTTGTTTATAAGCATAACTTGATCTGGACATATTGCTAGAAGTTTTAGCAAGCGCAATGTTTCTTTCAGTACTAATTATCAATCTGAGCTTGAAACATATTCTAAATTATTTATCTTACTAAATCAGTAGAGTTAATGCTTTCAGTTAGGTGCTGAACAGGTGGAAAGTTCTCCTGGATCATTCTGAGTTGTGGAGGTGGGACTCTGGATTGCCACATATATGATTACACCGGAGAGGGTTTCCAATGGTGATTCTGCTATGTCTGAAGACTGCATCTTGATTAACTTGAACGTTTTAGAGACATTTTGTGACCCTCTCTGAATGGTCAGTATCCTCCTATATGTCTTCCTGGATTACCAAGTAATCTGCCTTTCAACATATCTACTTGCATCAGTAGGAGAAATGGTGGATCCATCTTTCAATATATGTGGTTTTGCCAATTCTCTGTCATCCAGCCTTTTACCATTTTCCTTACTGATTATATATATATGGAGGAGTTTCATTTATATGTCTGGCCTGAAGTGAATGTCTACAGATATATTATCTATGAACTAACCACTGGGGGAAAGTATTGCAGAAGGCATCAACTTACTCTGTGTGATGAAATTCTAACTAATAGAGTAGCAGCAGGAATTATTCAGAATAAGATGTCCACAAACAGCAGAGCAGAGAGGACAATAACTGTTTCAAGATTAAGTGGACATTCTTCCAAGAAATCCCATGAGGCCTTGTGAGGAGACGAATTTTCTATTTATTTGGAATTCTTGATTCTGGAAACATATTGGGATTTACAGCATGGATAAATGGTTCAAATCATTCCCATAAAATAAAACTCAAAAATAAAACTAGCTCTAAGTCACAGTTTGCAAGATGAACCTCTGTAATTTAACTTTCAGTTACCACTTGGTATATAGTGATGTGCTCTGAAATGTGTGCACCGAATGGCCATGAATTAGGATCATATCAGGATATTGAGCATGGGGTCATCTAATTCCTTGGTCTCTACATGGGCTTGGATGATTAGCAGTCTGAGCCACAATTTATCCAGGAACATATAAAATCAGTCACTACTTTCTGGACAGAACACGTTTTCTATACTTCAAATTCAAGCAAACACTTAAATGAAAATACTTAATACTAAGGCATGCTATATTCTTCTACAGTGGATACTCAGATTACAAAGAAATGTTTCCTTTCATTCTCCTATTTGTCATTATTTATACATTACTCAATATCTAGAGTATCATCTGACAGACGTATCATTTAGAAACCTATTGCGTTGCACTAGGCTCAAAATATTAATTAAAGAATTACTTATCAACACCTAATGCAGATAGATACCCACACCCCAAAATGCACTTGGTGGAAATTTATTTTCTGCCATGTAGCATGCCATAATCAGAAATACAACAAAAAAGCAAATATTTACTCCCTATAGGGAGAATGGAGCTCAGTTTTATAATGGACATCAGCAAAATCCATGGTTTAAATTAGAGATTAACAAAGCGCTCATGAGCTCAAAATTAAGTTATTCTGTTTAAAATCAATCACTGAGATTGTCATTCTGCTTCTTGCTTTGACTTCCTAACAAAGTTTAAATGAGGACTTCACGTGCAAGTATAGAACCCAGGGAGCTCTGCTCTTTTTCAGACCTGCATGGGCAGGAGGGGCAAACATTTAGGCTATTAATGTAATTAGAATGAGGAATGTATTTTTCCAGAAAAAAAAAACTTCATCAGAAAGAAAAATCCCACAAATCCACAGTAATCTATTATCAGGGAGGGTGGGGGAATGGTAAAGAATAAAAGGTGGGATGCATTTAGAAAGCACTAGATTCACTAATATCAGAGCCATTCTGGAGATGCCAGGCAGGAAATCTAAAATTATGCAAGCTCTTCTTTTCATTGGCAGGCACCAGAATTGGAAAGAAGTGTCCAGAAAGACTACTGCTTTTGCTAGCAAAGTGCATTTAGACTGTCATTCCGCTTCATGTTGGGTCACCACTCCAGCGCTGCGCAGCTCTTCGATGGCCCTGTCATCATATCTGAGGACCTCCCTCAGGATGTGCGTTGTGTGCTGCCCAAGCAAGGGAGGCGGCCTGGCCTCTGACATCTTGAACTTACTGTATCTCACAGCTGGGCCTGTCAAGGGAGGAGGAAAGCAGGAAGCCTGTTAATGACTAGCCCTAGGAAATTAATTACCCCAGCAGCCCAGGGTGTTGCCAGTGAATGCCCAGATTATCCCTGCCAGTTCCACCCTTGCAGATGCACCATCATTTTGGAAAGAAATGTATTTTCACATGTGGCTTTTCTTGACTCAGTTTCATCCAACTGAGTCTTGGTCATCTGCTCTGTCACCGCTGCCTGGGGACTCCATGTATGTGCCTGCTGTATGCTGGGCTCATTCAAAAGCTGCCGCTACTGTCACAAAGACTCTCAGGGGCAGGCCACTCAACTGAGTGGACTCTGGGTCCCAGAGAACAATGACCACACATACACAGTATCCCTCTGAAGCTGGAAATCGGACTCCAGTGAAGGTAACCCAAAAGCTTACTATTCAGTATCTACTGCCTAGTTCCCAGGTTTAGTGCAACAGACCGCAGATCAACTAAACCTCAGCCAGACACTGGTTGAAGCCTTCTGCTGGTGGAAGAGGTTTTGTGTGCAAGCTTCCTTGTCAGGGAGACGTAGAGATTTTGATAGCAATTCTTATACGTTCTAGCAGAATCATCTTGGACAAATTACTGAACTTCTCTGAGCCTCATGTTCTGCTCCTAAACCAAGTGTGATAATGCTTCCACCTAGACTTGAGGGAAGAATTTAAATGAGGTCATGGACAGAAAGCCCTGAGTAAGAATTCTCTAACCATAGTAACATGGTAACCTGCTGGCTGCTGTGATGACAAAAACCGCCTCCACATCCCTCTCGACACTGGCAGTGCCAGCAGAAAAGGACATTCATTGCCAGCTGTTTGCTGAGTGCTAAGACACTGTAAACACAGTACCTCAAGCAACTTACAGCAACGGTTGGGAATGGATTTTATTACCCCATTTCTTCACGTAAGGACAATCAAGCTGCAAAAGGAAGATTTTGCTCAAGGTCACGTGGCCAATAAATACTAGCACCAGGATGTAAATCCATGTCCGTTTATTTGTCGCACATCAAAGCCCATGCACTTTCCATAACCCTAGCAACCTCTTCTCACTTCCCACTGCCACGGACAAGCTGGACAGACACTGGGGGACATATTGTTTCAACAGACTTGACCTTCATCATTTCATTCAATAAATGATATTTACGTTGGTTGTCCTTTACATTTCATTTGATTAGGCTTCAGGAAAATAAATGAGCCACAAGACTACAAAACAGTACATTTCTATCTCATGAAAACTTTTCCAGCCTACTCATGATTTGGGGAATCAGTAGGAAGAATCAATAAAACCAAAGCATGCGTGGGTTAATGGAACGTCAGTCAGTAAATCAGCAAACGTGATTTGAGCTCTTCGGAGAATTCTACTAATAAAAAGTACTGCTGTAGAAGCCGTTGTTGATAGAGATAGAGGACCTTCTAAAGATAAATATAGATAAAGGTAGAGATTGACCTCACAAGCTGCATCTTTGTGTAACACATACCATTCACTACAGATCAATGGCAACTTTCAACTGATGTCCAAAGTTTTCCTTCTCTGAATCTCCTGAAATAAATTCATTTTTATTTCTCAAACTTCCTCTTAAATGCTCCAGTGCATGACTGTTTTTCTCATGGGTTGGGAAGCAGGGTCCACTACTCTCCTGAGAAAGCTGATAATCTGATGCTTTAGGGAGGTGATCATTTAAGAGTCAGCTCATTTTGACATTCATTAACAAGTTTTAACCTAAAATGTGTCTTTCAAAAGAAGAACTTCACTGAGGGAATACAAGAAGTCAGTGCCATGCGGTTTTTTCCACTGAGTTACCTGAAGCGAAGCTGGCAACTGAAAAGCAGTCACTTGAGTACCCCATGGATCGGGGTGGGAACACAGCGACTACTACCACCACTGCCGCTGCTGGTAGTAGGACCATTAGCAGCTACCATTCCCTTAGACCTGATGCTGCATCAGCCACTGTGCATCAGCTCCTGCAGTCTTCACAACAACCCCATAGGGGCCCTGAAACTAAAGGACATGTAAGGCAAAAGGGTGAGATTCAGGGTTCTGGTCAGGACACCGGAATCACGTACCCAATGCCACACAACTAGGAGGTGAGAGTCAGTGTCTACATGCAGGTTTGTTGGTTCAAGAACTTAGACTTCAAAGACAAAACATTTGTTGTGTTGAGATAACATAAAACAAACCATTTTAAAATGAACAGTTCAGGGGCATTTAGTACATTTTCAATGCTGTGCACTCCCACCTCTATCTAATTCCAAATCATTTCCATCACTCTAAGTAAAGCCCGCTGTCCATCAAGCAGTGTCTCTCAAAGCCCCTTCTACCAAGTCCTCGCAACCGCTAACTTGCTTTCTATCTCTACGGCTTTATCTACCCTAGATATTCCATATATATGGAATCATACAACATCTGACTTTTGTCTGGGTTCTTTCACTTAGCATGATGTTTTTGAGATTCATCCACATCATAGCATGTAACAGTACTAGGCGCCTGGACTCTTAACTACGAAGTGGTAATGGTATGAAAGAATGCTTCACGTCCATCCATACCAAAGGGCAGTTCAACTGTGTCATTCCCACTATATTCCATATTTTCCCATAAGAGATCTACACTGAAGACTATGCTACCAGTTTAGGATGAAGGGTATTTAAAACTTTGCACAAAAGAATCATAAAGAATTTAGGTTGTTAGAATGGTATCAGTAATTTTTCAGATTCCTAGGATAAAGACACCTGGGAGATAATGCATATTTGGAAAGCATATGTTTTTCTAAAAAGTATATGTTATCTACTAAGTCATATTACAGCTTAAGTAATTATATGCAATTTCCATGATCCCTTTAGAAACAAATGTGAGGTTTTCATATGATTGATTTTAGAAAGATCTTGAAGCTGGGGTTTGTCATGCAATTCAAAGTATAGCGTGTATATGTACTGTATTGGCAATTTTCATACTATAATTTCTTATATATTTCTTAACATATTGTTTTGCCATATAGTTTATTATAAAGTCCTTTAAAAATATGTGTATGTGCAACAGGACAAGTAAAGTGATATCCAGATACCAGAGAAAGCTAAGTTCTCATATCAACTGAAATCTCCTGTTCTTGCGACCCTATGCAATAATCCTATGTACCAGGGACATCCCTGCCAGGCTAGGCTTTGCACAAAGAGAATAAAGTGTTCTTAACTACATTTGTTTCAGGAACTAGAAAATGTTTGACACAATTATCTATGTCTCTGGTCCAGAAAGAATGAATAATCTGATCTTCCATTAAAAAAAGATGAGCAGATCAGTCACATGTTCTCAAATTACTTTTTGGCAAAATAACACTTATGTTCTCATATGCTTTCAAACATTTGCAAGCTGTGTGTTCTTGAAAATTCTCTAAGTCCCTGAGCCTCAGTCCATACATTCCTACAATGAGGTTGACAATACCTATCAAGGGTTGGTTTGCACATTTGAGTAATGGACTTAATCATAAGATGCAATTTTATATATAAAACTAGCAAATTATGAGGTTATTTTCATTTCTCTCTAAGAGGTCAGTGACGGTAGGAGTACAAACTGGTGCAATCCTTCTGGAGGGAAATTTGTCGATGAAATATCAAGAGTTTTCAAAATGTTCACACACTGGGATGGAGAAATCCTGCTTAAAATTTTTTTTCTATGGGTATAATCAGGAATGTTGACAAATTTTATAGGCAAGAATCTATACAAATTTCAAGATCTACTTAAGTAGATCTACTCTTTCATACCTCTTTCCATCTCACATGGCTTTCTAACCTGTAGCCGCTGAAGGTTCTATGTGTGGGGTTCTGTGTACTTAAAAAACAAAAACAGAACCTTTTCTATCTTTTTTTAGCTTCCAAAGGTTACTTTGTTAGGACCAGATGTTTAGCAATTCATTCCCTCATGTACTGCACCCATAGTCCTATCTCCAACCTCCTCCTTCCAGATAAAAGGGTCAAAAAGTTACAATATTGAAAAAAATTAGGAAAAATTAGGTGCCACCATCTAAAAGGTGGGCACTGGTTAAATAAATACAGTGCATCTAAATGATGGCAAACTGTATGGTAATTTCATGTTGTGTTTTGGGGACTTTGAACATAAATATTACCTTCACTCTCTCCTGAAATAAAGTACAGAAGTAAACACAAACACATGGAATGTCATGAGTGAAAGAATGGGAGGGCTAGTGAATGAGATATTTCAACAAGTATTTAAGAATGGCATGGGATCATGTTGATGGGTTAGAAGAGATAGAGAAAGCTGAAGTCCATAATATTCTACAAGAAGTCTGAGAGGAAGTAGATGCCAACTGGTCCATTTCAACCCCCTCCACAACCCCACAGAACCTCTGATCTTAAAACTAATGGTTCTGAGAGAGACAAGTCTTCGAAGGAGGACAGAAAGCAAGACTGAATGTCTCAGTGTAGGCTAATCTTGCTAGTTTGTATCAGAAAGTGAAGCTTGCTTTCAAGTTGCTAAATGAAAACAATGTTAAACCTAGACGTATATAGCCAGTCAAATGATTAATCAGATATGAAGACATTTTCAAACTTTCTAAGATTAAATAAGTCTACTAAGTAAGTTTCTTGATGTTGACTCCAGGAAAACATGGGAGAAGATGACAGAAACAAAATTTTGTACACATTGAGAAAGGACCAAAGAATGCAAAGAAGGAAGGTCCCAAGACAACAGCTTATGTGTGATAGGGCCAAACTAATTAGATGTTCCTTAAACTGAGCCTTTAGCTGAGTTATCACGTGGAGAATCAGTAAGGTGGAGATGGAAGAGGATGGAGGCCTTCTAAAGGGGAGTCTAAGAAGGCAAAAAAAGCCTTAATTGTAGAATTAGTATAACTGAAAGGTTGGGAAAATATAATAATGAGATAAAATTACATTATGCATGAAAAAAATAATAATTAGAAACTCTAGAAAAAAAATTTGTGTAAGAAAATCAAGATTCAAATATGAAGGAAATTACAAT